CCCCCAACAACTTTATGGGGATATAATTCACATATCATACAAGTCATAGTTCAGTCCCATTAAGAAGAGTTGTACAGTCATCACCACAGTTAGTTTTTGAACATGCTTTCCATCTTGGGCTCCTTGTTATGAGCTTCCTATTTCCCTCCAACCTCCCCTGTCACCCGCCAGGAACCATGAATCCAGTCACTGTCTCTACAGATTTACCTAGCCCATTGCTTTTTGATGGCACTTCTCCGGTGAGGAAATGCAGACCCCTCACCCACTCACAAACCCCAGATTCAAGGCAGAGCCCTGGGCTCCTAAGACGTTGGTGGCGGTGACTAGGCAGGACTGGTGACAACCTGTGTCTCTTCCACCCTAGGTGTCTGCGGCTTCTGCCACAAGACTGTGTCCCCCCGAGAGCTGGCCGTGGAGGCCATGAAGAGGCAGTACCACGCCCAGTGCTTCACCTGCCGCATCTGCCGCCGCCAGCTGGCCGGGCAGAGTTTCTACCAGAAGGACGGGCGGCCCCTCTGTGAGCCCTGCTACCAGGTAACCCCCATGGCAGACCTCTAGGTGCCAGGCACCATGAGCTGGGCACTTGGAAGAAATGATGCCTCTCAATTCCCCAACAATCCTGGCAGATAGGCACCCCTGCACCCCTGACTCACTTCACAGGTGGCTGCGGCACTGAGGGGAAGGTGCTCAGCTCAGGGGTGTTGTGTCTGTTGACTGCAGCCACAGAGGACCCAGACACAAACTTCAGTCAACACAGCGCACAGCTCTCTCTTCCAAGCTGGGAGTTCAGACGTCCAGAATCATCCAGTGGGCACAAGCCAGGGTGTTGGCAGACCGCCGTCCCTTCACAGGCGCTCCGTCCCATCTCTTGTGTTCTTTGGCTCCTGGCCCCATCCGCCGTCTCCACAGCCTAGCATCTTGCTTCAGTGGCCGCACTGCCGATATTCTTCTGGGCTACTGCTCCCACGGCCTCCACTTGTAAAGACCCCGTGAATACAGTGGGCCCACCCCGATCATCCAGGATAATGCCCCCCCTCAAGAGCTTTAATCACAAAGTTACTAGTGCACCTGGGGTTTCTGAGACTTTAAATCTTTACCACAATAGACAGCCTCCTCTTTCTATCCCCATCCCTGGTAACCATCAGAGGGTGCTGCTTTCTGTGTGTATACCTACTCTTGATAGTTTGTGAAAACAGGACCGTAGTTCCCTTTGGGATTATTTCACTCTGTAAAGGGTCTTCCGGATTCATCCTTGTTATGTTTCATGGACTCCTCCTTCCTCGTTAGAGCCGAGATGTTTCACAGCTTCATTGTGATTCTTTAGAGCGGTATGGCATCCCATTATAGGAATGCACTACATTTTGTTTGCTCTATTCCTCTATTGGGGCACGTAGGTTGCTTCCATCCTTTGGCTGTTGTCATAGCTGCACTGAACACGGATGTGCGTGTGTCTATTTGTGTCACTCTCCTACTTCTCCAGGATCTATACTTAGGAGTATGACGGCTCGATCATGGGGTGTGTCTATTTCCAGCCTTTGGAGGAAGTAACATTCTGTTTTCCCTGGTGGTTGTGCTACTTTTCAGCCCCACCACCAGTGTATGAAGGGGCTTCAGAAAAGTTCATGGGAAAATGCCATCATCTTTTAATTCCAATCTCCACCAACAGCCGAAGCCCCTTTGTGTAAGAGTCCCGTCTTCCCACCACGTCAGCAGCATTTGATATTCAGTGTTGTTGCTGTGGTTTGCAGGGGTGAGGTAGTCTCTCATTATAGTTATGATTTGCATCTCTCTATTGCTAATGATCACAGACATCTCGTCGCGTATTTATTGGCCATCCGCGTCTCCTTTTCTTAATAAGGTTCTCATTGTTTAACTCTTGCTGTGATTTGGGGGTGAGGGTTGGACACCTTGGTTTTCCAGTCAGCGGAGGAGTGTGCACAGTGGCCCCCGTGCTTCCTCCTCCTCCCCACGCACACTTTCCTGTCCCAGTCTTCCTTCTTGCCTTCCCCTTCCAGCCTCTGGCTGTCCTTCGGGCAGACGCTGCCCTGTGGTTTCGGATGGCTGATTGCTCGGGGGAGTGCATTCCTTCCTGGCCTTTATTTGCTTTGT